AGAGAGAGAGAGAGAGAGAGAGACGGTGACGCGCTGCGGTTTAGAGTCCTCCCTCCTGCTCTTCACATGATCTGAAAGCTTTCACAGAGGAGAGACAGGAATGTGCAAAGGAGCGACTACATCAGTGGCTGATCGAAGCCACGCTGCCTCCACAATGTCTTTATTTCACACTGTGGCTGTCTGCGTGACCCTCATCCACTACACCAACGGAATCCCATGGACAGAAGAAAAGGTAAATATATTCAAAGGATCTGCTCACATTCTGGGCCTGAATGCACCGTGGTACTGCCTCACAGTCATGTGTTTAAACGCTGAGAGAAATCTGCTCCAAATATGAATCCATTAAAAATAAGAACTTACCACGTGCTGTGTTTACTCTGACCATCAGTAACCTGCTTTCGACACGAGCATGACTGCTTACTGTCATTATTTCCTGTCTTTGTGATGCTTTTATCGTTTAAAAGCATCTGTGCTAAATGATTTGATCGTTTTGGGACTAATAATTAACCATGTAGAAAAAAAATAATAGTAATTTTAGCATGTTAATGTCTTTATATTGTGATTATATTGTTTGTGGTTACCTGCACCGTTACTGCTGTTACATTACTCCATAAGAGAAAAAGAGAGGCTCTCAAGTAATCGGATACATCTTTATAATTAAGTGAAATATGTGTTCATGACGTTAGAACAATCCCCTGCGCTTTTAACACTGTTGTGTAATTCTCCTGAGGTACACCAGGGTATCCCTGGACATAAATCTTCTTCATCTATATTCTTCTTCTCCTCTCCCCTGTGCTTGGTTGCTATGGCAGCACAGCCATCATCATTGATCCTCCAATTGTGGGTCTTGGTATTTATAGACCTTAAGTGGACCCCCTTTTAACCCTCTATGAGCTCAGTGAGCCCCAGCTCTTTGAAGGGCTGTATTCAGTCTGTGTGACCACATAATTATAGTTTTCCCTCTGCAAACACAGGCCTGCTGTATGAGTCAGCCACTATGGGCTTAAGACGTACTGGGAGCAGGTTTTGTAAGTGAATATTTGTGCCTCCGCTGAAATAAACAGACCTGGGGAACGTATCTTCTGTTGTTATCTGCAAAGAAGAGCAAATGTTGTTGTTCATTCTGCAGATGTAGCAGATGTAGCCATTTATTCCAACTCCAACAAACATAACATAAATATAAATGACTAATTCATTAACTCATTCACTGCCATTGACGTCTATAGCCGTCAATTGCAGTGAATGAGTCAATGGGTTTAACTCATTCACTGCCAATGGCTGGCAGTGAATGAGTTAGGTGAATAATGACCACATCAACTGATAATAACCTTAATATTATTCCTTTAAGCTCTGAATCTATATAAATATTTTATAACCTTGGAGTGCTGCTCGTTTCCACCACATTCCCAATTAAGTACTAGCTGAGGGCCTAATAGAAAAAATGGAGCCGCACACAGACGGGGGCTTTGATTGGTCTCTGATATTTACTCTCAGCTGTTTCCCCCCGATTCCCTGTTTGTTACCAGGACAACAGTGTTTCTCAGCAGGTGAACTTTGTGACCAAATGAAACAGGACTGATTGGAAGATCAATGCGTTTTTTTAGGCCACGACTGTGAATCAGCAGTCATTGAACTGACTCTTATAGTTTGCACAAAACAGCAAACTGGCATTTTACTAAGGAAGAGTAATTCCATGCTTGTCTTTGCCTCCTGTCTGTTCATTAGATGCTTGCTTTTTTAAAGGAGCCACTCTGTAAACTTGTGTCTCTTCTCAAAGCTCTAATTAGCTCTTGTGTCCCGACAGGCTTCTTTCACAGCTTATTAAGGACACTGTCTTTTATTTAACAGCTTTACCATATGATCAAGTTACTCATAGCTCATATTTCCTTTATTTTTTCTGTTAAAAAAGCGACATTTATTCTTTCCTCCCCCATAGTTCCTGCATATATGAAACATCCAAATTCCCCATGTTTGTAATCTTAGCGCTGTTTCCTGTAACATGACAGGATGAACGTATCATTATGACACAACAGCAGTCTATGCGTCACCCGCACAGTTACTTAACTTGAATCCATCACAGGCTTCTCTTCTACTATTAAACAGCTGCTGAGGAAAAAAGTGGACCATTGCACACGCTGTGTGAAAACAGATGTTTATGAATTGCTTGTTGTGTTCTATGTTCTGCAGTGATGAACAAAAACAAGCCGTAGGACTGCTGAGCAATACTTTTTTGTTGTTTTTCTGACAACCACTTATTTTAAGTATCAGTTGAATCCATTCATTTTATCTCTTGCTTCTTTGGTCCTGTCCAGTTGTACCACACAGCTGTCACGCTAACACAGGATGAGATCCGCGCTGCCCTGTCGCACACTGATGTAGAGCAAATGTGGCAGAGGGACCTGAGACCACTGCTCGTTACCAGGTATCCAGGGTCTGCTGGCAGCCAGGCTGTGCAGGACGTAAGTTGATCTGATACCAGATCTGTGTCTTTAACTAGAGGAACAGTCATCTTTACTATCATCATGTGTTATCATGCACATGTCTGGATGGCAGGAAAAATGTAAAAATAATGTTATATTTCCTCCAAAAAACCACAATGTTTTACACCTGGGAGGACACTTTCCACATTTGTAGTAAATGCAATTCCACTGGTAATAATAAAATGCTGTTTAATTCTGCAAAACAGGAATCAGGTCAGTATATTCAGTGGTTTAGCTAAGTAGTAAGGAGATGATAAGATGAAGGAGAGGCTAAATTACATAAAAACCTTTGCGTGTGTGTCCGCAGCACATCAAAACAACCCTCGGTTCGCTCGGAGCACAGTGGGACGTTACAGAGGACAAGTTTGTGTCACAAACACCATATGGACCTCTGCCCTTCACCAGCCTAATTGCCACCCTGAACCCATCAGCCAAACGCCGCCTGGTCCTAGCCTGTCACTACGACTCCAAGTACTACCCACCACAATGGCACGGAAGAGAGTTCCAAGGAGCCACGGATTCTGCCGTTCCCTGTGCCATGATGTTGGAGCTGGCAAGAGCCCTGGATCTGGATCTGAAAGCTCACAAGGTATAATTCTAAGTCATGATTTACAGCTGCAGGGCACAGTAAGCTAAAATGGTACATTATACATTATTAGTAACAGGTGTTTCATTGAAACCCAAGCCTTTTGGTGCTAGTCTGTAGTGTGTTTGGTGTTTTAGAGGTTGTGATCAGCACTGACTTGACTGTGGTCATGCATCACGATGAACAACACAACATCACACAACAACAACACAAATGAAAGCTGAAAGAAAACCTGGCCAGAGGTAACAAAACACCAAGAGCATTCAATTTTCCTATCCGCAGCACTTTGATATAATATATTTTTATCTTAAACACCCAGGCTCTGTAGTTATTAGGAAAAGATTTCACACCACTGTGAAAAACAATTTAAACTACGTCCTCATATAGGAATTAAGAGACAAGTGCTCAGGCGCTGCTAATCAGTCACACTTGATTGGCTGATCATCATCAGCGTGAGCGACTCAGGTGTGCATTAATACAATGCCAGGAATGAATGACATCAGCGATGAGCTTTGAGAAGCAACTGTTGCTGCTCATCAATCTGGGAAGGGTTACAAGGTCATTTCCAAACAGTTGGAAGTCCATCATTCTCCAGAGAGAAACATCAGTGACAAGCGGAAAACATTCAAAACAGCTGCCGGTCCTCCCAGCAGGGAGCGTCCCACCGAATTCAAACCGAGGTCAGACCGTGTAATGGCCAGAGAGACCCCAGAGCTTTATCTCAGACTCTACAGGCCTCAGTTATCATGTAAAATGTTAAAGTTCAGCCAAAACTAGGGCATACATCAGGACAATGATCCCAAGAACAGCAGCAAATCTATAACAGAACGGCTGAAAACAATCAAGGTTGTGCAACGGCAGAGTCAAAGTCCAGAACTCAGCCTGACTGAAATGCTCCGGTGGGACCATCGGTGAGTTGTGCATAAATGTCCACAGACTTCATGTTATTGCCGCCACAGGTGGTGCTATAACCTGTTTCACAGGACTTGACGTAAATGCCCATCATTGTGTGGTAATACAGCTCCCACCAGTACACCAGCGCATTTTAAACACCAGTTAGGATCTCTTGCAAAAAGGAAAATATGAGACTTTGGCTCTATGTTTTACACTTATTAAGATCAATTCACTGCTCGTATTGATCCTTACATGATGAAAATATAAGAATTTGCCCAGTGCCGTCTGCTAAGAGCTTTCACAGAGTCAGGGAATAAGAGGATGCAGACGTTTTTCACAGCAGAGTTGACATGTTGAGTTAACCAGCATTTATGAAGGCTGTAATCCATTTAGGTGAGTCCAGAGCTATTGGTACTGCTCCAGCACTGCTGGCTTTCTATGCCTGATGTCAAAAAGGCATTTAAATGTTGCTCAAATGTAGCCTACACATTTCAAACACTAAATATTTTTTATATTCATTTGTGAACCTGCAGGCATTCACACTACAACTCAAGATCAGGATAAGAGCAACATTTCAAGTTACATTCTGGATGTTTTAAATTAATTAGTACATACACGTTTTAATTGTTCTGCTCAGTATTAATGCATTGGAAAAGAAAAAAACATTAGCATTCATGCAGCTAGCTCCTCTGCCCTTTTCCTGTTCCACAGCTGAGCTCAGCCTCCTGTCTGCTGGGCGGACAGTGACATCGTCTGTGACAGAGAGATCAGCCAGGGGACGTGTTTTCCACACTCAACTGTCTGTCACAGAGGTCACGGTGGAAATAGGAAGCACACTGAATTCAAATGCATTCTGTGGACGAGAGGACACATAATCAATATGAGAGCTGATAAATCGTGTGTTTAAAAAATCTGTTCTAGAAAAGAGCAATGAAGCAAAAGAATAAAATGAATATTTCCCTTGAAAAACATTTTTCTTAGTTTTCTGTCAAGTACTATGAAACAACACTAGATGGCAGCAAAACTCTTGGATAAAAAGTAATTCTACTGGTTTTTGTTTTTACTCTGTTTAGAGCTTAAATTCCAACCTGACCCTGCAGTTACTCTTCTTTGATGGGGAGGAGGCTCTTTTTCAGTGGACCGCCACAGACTCCCTGTATGGCTCTCGCCACCTTGCCCAGAAGATGGAGGCCACCGCGCATCCTCCAGGAGCCGCAGACACCAACCAACTGCACGGCATTGTAAACATCACTTCTCCTAATTCTTCTCTGTCCAAATCACAGAGGATTAGGATAATCACTTAAGCACACTCAAGATCATCCTTTTGTTAGCCAACATCAATTTCAGTACAATCTGCTTAGCCCTGATCTCCTCTTACACACTCGAACAACTGAAGTGCATTTCTTAAATAGTTTTGTATTTGAAAGAATTACACAGCCACTTATTTCATCACCAGGGAGGCTCGGAGGGCTTTATACGGAGCAGAAGTTATTACACGCTCTATAAAAGTATGATGTCACTTGTACCCGGTATATATGTCCGTATCCACGCTATAAAGAGATAACTGTTATCCAAAAACTGGGGAGATAAAGTTTCCCAACATTGCTGGTGTGTGAGCGTGTGTGTGCATGCGTGTAGACAGACAGAAAGACAGATTGGTGTGTTTTATGTGCAGCACCGTGGAGCACGTGATGTAATCACCTCAAAGCAGCACCGCTGAGGTGTGATTATTATGGGAATGAGCTGCTTAACGGGGAATTACCGCCGGGGTGTGTAGACAGAGTTTCTCATGAGAGATGGGCATCATTCATCCCGTCCTGTCTCTGCTCCTCCAGGATCTGTTTGTGTTGTTGGATCTGATCGGCGCTCCCAGTCCTCGCTTTGGCAACCAGTTTCCAAGCACAACAGCCTGGCTCTCCAGACTTCAGCACATCGGTGAATAATCATTCACTAATGCTTTATGTATAATATGCTGTCTTTGGTGCAGCGAGGTTGAGTGATCACCAAACATTAGCAGCTACATGAGTCTTGTTAGTCATCACCATATAGAAGCTATTCACCTTTGTAACACATTATCCTTTAATTGCAACATTTCAATGAGATTATGAATAAATTAATGTGATAACAGTCATGGGTTTGTGGCTTAAAGGGTTGTTAATGGAAACTAGTTAACCTGCATGGATCCTGTTACGGTCCTGGGCCTGGTGACCCAGTGTTTAGATTTAGAGCTTTCCGGGGTTTAGTCTTTTGTGTTTCTAGCTTCCAAAGTTCTTTGTGATTACAAGTTCTTAGGTTTTGTTTCTTTGCCTTCCACGTCTATAGTTTAGGTTTTGTTCTGTCTCCATGTTTACTCATCTGTCTTCCCTGTCAGCTGTGTCTCCTTAAGTCTGTGTCTGTGTGTGTTATATGCTCAGTTTCTAGTCTCTAGTTTTCCGTCGCTATGCCTGCCCTGTGTTCCACGTTTAGTTACTCTTGTCTCCATGTTTCATGTCTGATTCCCCTTGTCAGTCATGTCTCCTTGTCACAGTGAAGATCTCATGTTTCCTGTTTTATTTTGATAGTTCCTTGTTCTGTGTTCAGTGTATTCAGTTTTGCTTCCTCCCCGTTCGTTGTGTCTGACTAGTCCCAGCCGTGTTTCCCTCCTGTTTCCCTCATTACTCCCGTGTGTATTTAAGCCCTGTGTTTTCTTCTGTCTTTGTCATGTCATAAATCCTTTTTTCTGCGTGTTGCCGCTGTGCTCCTAGTAAATTCCTAGTTCTCTGGTTTCCAGTTCCTTGTTTTTGGGATGGTTTCTGTAAATGTGTAGAATTATTTCCAGCAATAAAGCTGCCGTTTTCAGTTAACTTCCCGTGTTGTAAATCCTGTGTTTGGGTCCTACATCCTGCCACCACGCAGCCGTACCTTGACAGATACAGCCATGTTGATTGGTGCAGGGAGAGAGGAGTTAGAGACAAAGTTAGAGAGACAAGGCTGAGATGGTTTGGGCATGTGCAGAGGAGAGATAAAAGACGAAGGTTGCTAAATATGGAGCAGGAGGAAAAGAGGAAGACCTGAGAGGAGGTATCGAAGGAGGAGATGCAGAGGGTTGGTGTGATAGGTTGGTGTGATAAGCATATAGTTAGGGCTGGACCAGGTGACCCTGAATCCTCCCTTAGTTATGCTGCAATAGACATAGGCTGCCGGGGGATTCCCATGATGCAGTGAGTTTTTCCTTTCCAGTCACCTTTCTCACTCACTATGTATTAACAGACCTCTCTGCATTGAATCATATCTGTTATTAACCTCTGTCTCTCTTCCACAGCATGTCTTTTATCCTGTCTTCCTTCTCTCACCCCAACCGGTCGCAGCAGATGGCCGCCCCTCCCTGAGCCTGGTTCTGCCGGAGGTTTCTTCCTGTTAAAAGGGAGTTTTCCCTTCCCACTGTTGCCAAAGTGCTTGCTCATAGGGGGTCATATGATTGTTGGGTTTTTCTCTGTATCTATGAAGCGCCTTGAGGCGACTTATGTTGTGATTTGGCGCTATATAAATAAAATTGAATTGAATTGAATTGAATTGAATTGAATTGAATTGAATTGAATTGAATTGAGGAGGAAACAGAGGCAGATGAGTAGCTGAAAGAAGAAAATACAGCAAATTGTTTGTTTATTTATTTATTTATTTTTACTATTAATAATTAACATGTGAGGTGTTTTCACTAACCTTTGAACTTTTTATTTTCTGCTCTGCCTTTTCTAAACTTAGAAAAGCGTCTTCACTCCATGAGCCAGCTGGTGGACCATCCTAACAGCGTGCAGTATTTCTGGCCAAATCACCATGTGGGCCATGTGCTGGATGACCATATACCTTTCCTAAACAGAGGTATGACCCTCAAGCGACACAACAACTAAATCAGCAGTTGCCCTTACTGTGTTGTTCTCTTTGGTGATCCTCATAATGTGCCTCTCTGCCAGGTGTTCGGGTCCTTCACCTTATCCCCTCCCCCTTTCCGTCTGTGTGGCACACGTTTGATGACAACGAGCAAAACCTGGACCGTTCCACTATTGAGAACCTCAATAAGATCCTGCAGGTTTTTGTTTTGGAGTACCTCAGCGCCAGACCCACCGTTCCTTCAAATCCACAGAATGCCCCCTAAAGCTCCCTGTAAACCCTTCATCCTTTGATGTCTCACTGTAGTAAAGATCCTCAGCTGCCACTTTAAAGACACAGAGCATTCACTGCATTAACCTCTATTTATATACTGAGACGCATATGTACTGCTTAACTTAATGACTGAGATAAAAGGGTTAAATTGTGTGCATCAGACGAGTGCTTGTTGTAGAGAACATTTTCCATAGATGATCTTTAGAAATATTGATCTAACCTGCATTTTTATTTTGAAAGTCTGAAAGTTGTATGCGTGTAAAATGAAAGATGAGGCTCATCAGAGAGACTAAGGCTTCATAGCTTCTTCATTTCAAGCCCCCAGCAACAATTCGAGCACAAAGGACCATCAGTGTGTTTCTGCAACACTGCTCTCTTTGTATCAGTCAAAGGCCTTCCTTATACCGCGAGGATTCATCTCAGCGCCAACACTAACATCGAGGATCTTTACCACGCCTCAAAAAGTCGAAATAAGAGCAGCGCTGTGTTAAAAACAGTTTTCATTTTACACACTTTCTCAGTAACAATGAAGTAAATGAAGCCACTAAGATCTAAATTGGAGATAATTTCATTATGGATTGCTTTTGGAATGCCCTCAAACACTTGCTTATAGTCATTTGATGACATTCAGAATCCCCAGTCGGGCATGCTGTGTGAGAAATATAGTCAGACCACCCACACAGCTGCTACCAAACATATTGAGTATATGGCGACACACATGCCACACTGTGCGAAATTTCCCCTCCTATATTAAACCTGTTCGGTGTTTAGAGAACAAACCTGTCAGTAGCAGGAAGTGTGGTTAATTTGTACTAAAACAACATCTTTAGCCTTTTATATCCTCTCATCTTAGGTGAAGTGGATGACTTCCTGTGCTGATGTTTCATGTGCCTGTCTTTGTTTATATGACGTTATTAGCTTGGTTTTAATGTAAATGCCAGAATAATATACTCTGCCAAAACTGGACTTCCTGTATTTGGAGACTGAAATAAATGTTGATTCAGAAAACAAAGGAGAGAGTTGGTTTTTTGCAGGATTTTTAATCATTTGACAACTTTGTGTTTAAGCAGATCCAGACTACTGTACGTGCTGCAGCTCCTCCTCTAAAGCATTTCTGCATTTCTGACCTGCAACAAAGAAAATTTGACTCTCCTTCCAGTCCAACATCTTTTCAAATCACTTTTTTGATTCCTCAGCTTCACCAGTCTTTCCCCTAATCCTATCAAGAGGCCATTCCCCAAATTCCACACCATCTAAATCCTCTTCAGTCCGGACCACTCGCATGTAAATCGAGGAGGTTTTTGTTTGCTGGAGGCAGAAATATTTATGATGCAGAGATGATGAAGAGGTTTAGTTATATGTGAACCAAAGAGAGGGGTTGGATTCAAACTATATTTTGGAAAGCAGCACGTCTGAACAAAGAACAGAAGACCAGGCAAATCGAGAGTTGTATAACAGTGTATTGTGGCATCCAGTTTATGTGTGACAGCAAATTGATGAATGCCCCAGTTTAATAACAGCAGAGCTTTAATCTGAGCTGATTAGAGAGCAGAGTGTGCAGCTGCACAATAGTGGATTGATGGGTAGGGCCCGAACTCTTTCTAGGTGTGTTTGAAACGGTTAGAAAACAAAGAAGCAAGCAGTGCTGTTTTCTTTGTAAGTTCGCTCGCTGGAGTTTGACTGAGAGGTTTTATAAATTTCTAAAAAAAAAAAAAAAATCACAAAAGGGTTACACAACTTCACAACAAAGAAGCAACACTGTACTGCAGCCACCACGATGCTGCACCTTTTTTCCCACGAAAGGTCAAATTTTATATATCCCCTGGCTCAAACTTTTAAACATACACATTCCCCATAACGTGACCTTTACGCTTTCTGTGCTGTTGTGCAGTGTCCACCTGTTGCAGCACTGTAAACCCACTGAACCAGCTGCTTTGTCCAATCCCAGTCTGCATCATGTTACATATTATATGTCCCAGTTCTGTCATGCAAGAAAAAAAATCACAAATAAAGATTTTTAAAGGAAGACCTTCAGCATAGTCCTGATAATATTTTTCTGCATTTAAATTCCCCTTTTAAGAAGTCATTTTCTGCTCTTAAAATAATTTTTGAGAGAAAAAGAACAATATCGCAAGTAACTGATTCCCTCATCAGACCCAACGTAGCCTGCACTTCATTTTCTCTGCACTGCACAAGTGTGTCCATTCTAAATGAGCTAATGGGGAATATTAATTTATATTATTGCGTGTGCATAAAGAGATGTGTGCAGAGTGTAAGCTGCAAAGAAGCAAGACACCAGCAGAGAGCAGTGCCGAGTCATGCTCAGGTTCCAGGAAAGCACAAGCAAAGCTCTGCTGCTCCTGTTTGTCTCACGATGTTGTATTTTGACGACTGCTCATTCAAATATAAGAGAACAAATTCAGCTAGTGTCACATTAGGTCAATAGCTTAATCATATTTATGAGGCCTTTCAAGTGCTCAACACAAACGGAGGAAAATGTTCTATTTTAATTATGATTGTTCACATTGTTCTGTATTTTTCCTTTTTCTCCTGAAGCAACACAACACAAACCGGTCAGCACTGTTTCACGCCTCCACTTTCAAATGAGGGCGGCGAACACACGCAAACTACCTACATCATACGGTGCGTTCAGGTACTCTCCGTAAATTCATATCACCACTCGGGCGTTCTGGTGGTTTTTGGTTAGAAAATTGTAAAATTGGTTTATTACAAGAAAGAAAGAAAGAAAGAAAGAAAGAAAGAAAGAAAGAAAGAAAGAAAGAAAGAAAGAAAGAAAAACATGATGCAATGGTAACGAAATTCATATCTCGGTATTAGTTTTTGATACGTAAGCACTATTATGAAGGCATCTGCACTATGTGAAAATATAAACTGTGATATTTGTTAAGTGTATCAGTGTTTTATTAATCACCGGGGCTCACTGGGTATTTAAGGAATAATTGTGATTTTTCCGAGTATTCCTGGCAGTACGTGAATGCAGCATTAATCCCAACGAGCGGTGAGGACCTGAGGGGGATTTCAGTCCAGCCTCCCGGTCTAGTGTGCGCACAGTTGTTCATTTGGTGAACACAAACAGACGCTGAGAGCGAAGCTGGAGCGAAGAATGTGACAGAAAACAGTTCTCTGAGTTCTTAATCAGCGCCGCCACATTTCGGCTCATTTCTCTCTCTCTGATTTTATTCTGAGCACACCATGGAGCCGATAACCAAGTGGACGCCAAAGCAAGTTGTCGACTGGATGAGAGGTAAGTGAGGCACTTTGAAAAGATTAGATTTTAGTCTGGAAAAAAAAATCTCATTGACTTCATTAAAAGAGAAGCTGTTCAAAGGCTTCTGTGCCCCAGCGCGGAGTCGCTCCTCGGTTATCTGCTCTTAGTTTCGTAGAAACTGCGTGACAGCATACCTTCACTGAGGCGCATAACAATGGGACTACATTTCTTTGACTCTCACTTACACAAGAAGGACAAAGAAATGACACTTGGCTGTGTAAGCAGTCCCCTGACATGCCAGTCGTACTACTGATAACACTTGATAATGAGATTTATTTTGTCACTGTGCTAACAAAGGAAATGTATTCGATTGGCTCTTAAATACACTGGCTGTCCTAAGTTTGGTGTCACAAATCCCGAAGTCAGAAACAAACAGTATCCAAGTGTCTCTCATTATATTTGCTGCTGCTTTTTTATTTATTTAAAGAAAATGATATTGATGTGTAACAGTCACTGTACTCTGGACTTTTAGAGCTTTAAAATCTCTAAAGAAAATCCGAATAATTTGTCTGTAAGTTTGCACTGATCTTTTTTCTCCATTAAAAAAATAAATTCTATTTCTAATTTTCTGAGAGGAATGAGAGGTATGCTAGTGGCATAAATATTCTCTGAACCAGACTTTAGTCACAGCATAGGTATGCATGGCGTGCGGCGCAAGAAGCTACGTAGTGGATGGAGTAGATGCAGAGAAACTCAGAAACTGAAGTTTGTGGTCATCAGCCAGGAAAAAGAAGCGCAGGCTCTTCGTGATGGGATCAAAGCGTCTGTCTTTGTTCTGAAGGACATTTGGAAACTTTTTTTCATATACTGATTTGTAAGTTTAAGCTAACTTCTGTATTTTTATGGAAGTGTAACAGTTAGTAGGCGGTGGTGTATTAACTGCTGAATGAGGCGTGCCTGCTAGTGCGCATCGATAGTTGGGGGTTAAAGGGGATTGTCAGGGGTTAGTTTCCATGTGTGCTGTGAAAAGAGCCTGACCGGGCATTTGTGGATGGAGGATTAGTTGTGTATATGGGCCCCACTACTGTCAGTGACCTGAAAATCTGACTCAGCAGTTGTCTCTGTAGGTCCCAGCTACTGGATTTGCAGACTCCTGCAAACACATCAGAAGGGAAGAACTGAGTGAAATGCACTGACACGCTCAGGGAAGTGCTCCCTGCTGAAGCTGGTGCATGAAAAACGGTTGATGAAGTTTTGTTTTTATACTTGAGAGGCTTCCAGGGTCACTGCTCTGGCTTTGCTGAATCACATTTGCACAGAGGTGCTGTCGTCGGTGTAGACAACAATAACTTTGCAAGCAGGTGGATCTGCATTTAAGCAGTCAGAGCTGCAAAAAAATGAAGCGCTGTGATATTGCACTTCTTCCTTTGGTCATTTAAACCTCTCCCTGGGTTGGCTGTGCTCATGCGCCAACATTTTCTTTGTTAAAGAAAAGCAAAGAGCCTTTTTAAAGGAGGGCCAAAAGCCACCACCAGTTTTCACAGAGAAGAAAAGGCCTCTTTCAGTCCTCAGTGACCGCTGCACCGTCCACAGCCATAACACAGCACGTAACCACTCGTGTTGCTTGACTGAAGGAAACCTTGTGTAATCTTTTCATACCAAAGCCAAACGGCGTCAAACTGAAGGAAAGCGCACACCCGGAGCGGGGTCACGGCCGCTTGTTGACCATTCGCACCAACACCGAACACGGCTGTTTGCAGAGTTGCTGTGCGTGTGACAGAAGCCAAATGAAAGTCTCGGGAAGCACTCTGTGCAGACCTTTGCTCCCGTTTGCCTCGGGCTGTTTCCCCGAGCTGGACAGGGGCTGCTCTTGTGTATTGAAGCTGTTGTTAAACACCTCCATTGTTGCAGCGGATCAAGTGGTCGCTGGTGGATGTTTATTGTCACTCTTGATCCCTTTCAATTCAAACATTGTTGTTGTTGTTTTCTATGTGTGGGGACTGGAAATGTCCTGAAGCACATTTGCTTCACCACAAGATCTCCCAGCTGGACCTGCAGTGCTCTGTGACTGGTATGCCATATGTCATGTGTGGGATTACGTCCTCCGGGGAACTGACCGCACTTTCCTGAGAACACACCATGTTTTCAGTAAATGCATTTTTAGCTCATTGTGATGATTTTGAAATTAAGGCTTAGACATGCTGCTAGTCATTTTCCAAATATAGTCTTGAATACACAACAGCAGTGTTTTAATGGTGAGGGTGGCATTCAATATATACAAACACCTGAATAGGATGTAATTCAGATTTTTCTTTTCCACCTTGCAGCTGCTGGGAGGAATCAGTGTATCTGTAAATACAGTCTTACTGTGTGGCTTTTTTGCTTTTGCAATACAGCCTAAATGTCCTGCAGCGTTTTCCATAAATGTATCCTGGCTTATCAAATTTCAAAGCTCTGTGTCTGTAAAGCAGGTTGGACATGTAAACTTCAGTGATGGACTTATTTTCACCAAGCTTTGCTCATCTACTCAATAGTAAGTAGAAGAGTAGCAGCAAGTGTGTGTTGATCCAATTTTTTTCCACTTCCAATCCGATCCAGAACCCAAAAATCTGATAACCAGGTTACATTAGTAAGATGTAAATCCTCACTGTGTGGAACAGACCAAGAGCAATTCTTTTATGCCTCAGCTCAGCTTCCTTAACTTCATTCACCTAAATTTCATTAGTCTCATTTCAGCTGAGCGTCATTAGGTTGCTGTTAATTGCGTTCACGCTGGTTTGTCC